CAGCATAGTTATCTCATTTGCTGTGTACACTGTCATAATAATAATGGTAATAATAGTAATAATAATAGTAATAATCTCAGAACTTGTGGTAGGCCTACCAGTATAGTAAAACATAAACCAGTGGTCTTCAAACTTGGCACGTTTAAGACTTGTGGACTTCAACTCCCAGAATTCCTGAGCTAACATGACTGGAAGAGGAATTCTGGGAGTTGAAGTCCACAAGTCTTAAAAATGATCCCTTTCCATCATTTTAAAATGATGGCTTGAGTGATGCTACCTAAATTCACATAGTATATTATTATAACAAAACTGGAACAGGGTACTTTGGGCTTCTGTACCCTACAGGAATTAAATTGTCTTAATGTGCCTCACGCAAACCAATTCATCGCATTAAGCCTGCACATGAGATTTGGAACGGTGTTCTGTTCTCTTGGTTTTGGGTTGAGTGTGTTGTGTGAACCAAGCCAGAGAGTCCTTGGCCAAAGCAATCCTCCTATCCTTGCCGAAACAGTTGAGCTGCCCAAGGAAAGAACCGTGAAGGCACACAATGAAGGACAACACCCCCCCCCATACTGAGGAAGCCATACAGGGAAGTGGATGATGGCAGACCCTCTGAGAGGAAACGGGGCCCCTTGTGGAACAACAGGCTGACCCTCCTCTGTGTGACGGCTGAGCTTGCAGGCATGCAGATCCCACCCGTGGCCATGCAGGGATCATGCCTGGCGCAAGGCTGGGGTTCTACTCGGGCAAGGAAGCAGGCAAAGGGGGCAAAAGGGGGATGGGTCCAGAGAGAGAAAAAGCATCCAGGAGAGGCTGAGGGAGGGCCAGCGTGCGCGCACACACACACACACACACACACACACGTCCCGGCAGCAGGCAGGTGGGTGGTTGCCACTCACAGTTCATGTTGATCTGCTGCGACAGTTCGATCAGCTCCATCTCGGTGGGCATGTAACCCATGGTCCGCATGCAGTTGCCCAGGTCTCGGCAGTTGATGTAGCCGTCTCGGTCTCGGTCAAACTCTTTGAAGGCTTCTCTCAGCTCTGTGGGGGCAAATCCAGGTGAGGGCGGGGCCTGTGGAAGGGGGCGGGTCTTTTCACCCTTGCCTCTTGCAAAGCCTGGCCCTGGAGGGTCTCTCATCCAGGGTCTGGGAGGGGCTCTCTGCCCTCCCGTGGCTGGCCGGAGCTCAAGCAGTGCCTGGGAAGCCACCGTGGCAACCTATGTGTTCCTGCAGAGCCACAGGTGGGATTCAGCCAGTTCCGACCGGTTCTGGAGATCCAGTAGCGGAAGTTTTGAGTAGTTCGGAGAACCGGCCAATGCCCCCTCTGACTGGCCCACCAACCCATCTCTTCTCTGCCTCCCATTGAGTCCCAGCTGTTTGGCTGGGTCTTCTTTGGTTGCCTTGCACAGGAGAACGGAGCTGGAAAGCAGGTTAGTAGGGTGGGGAGGGAAGGGGATTTTGCAGTAACCTTCCCCTGCCACGCCCACCAGGCCAAGCCACGCCCACAGAGCCGGTAATAAAAACATTTGAATCCCACCACTGTGCAGAGCCCCCTTCCAGCCCTCTCTGAGATTTCGCATGTTCAAGGAATCAGCTTGCAGTGAAGCGCAAGAAACACCCCACCGCCTCTCGGGATCTTCCAAGGGGGAGCAATTTACTTTAGCCTCAAACTAACCTCTATTGACCTCACCCCATTCCTGTAAGGGGCGTGCATAAGCGCACCGTCCCTTGCGCCTACCGTCCCTGTCCTATTGTCCCCAATTATTAGTTCCTATTTCATGTATTTAAACTTATGTTTATTCTTATTTTGATTATTTATTTATTTATTTATCTATTTATTTGATTTGATTTGATTTGATTTGTCAATTGCTTAGAAGATAATAGGTATAAGTAAAAACATAGTTATGAAGACATGGATACATATAAGAAAAATAAAAGAAACAATAGGACAGGGACGGTAGGCACGTTGGTGCGCTTATGCACGCCCCCTACAGACCTCTTAGGAAAGGGGTGAGGTCAATAGTAGACAGTCTAAGGTTAAAGTTTTTGGGGTTTGGGGAAGAAACCACAGAGTCGGGTAGAGTATTCCAGACATTGACCACTCTGTTGCTGAAGTCGTATTTCCTGCAATCAAGTTTGGTGCGGTTTACTTTGAGTTTGTATCTGTTGTGTGCTCTTGTGTTGTTATGGTTAAAGCTGAAGTATTCATTGACAGGTAGGACATTGCAATGTATGATTTTATATACTATGCTTAAATCAGACCGAAGACGGCGTAATTCAAGGTTTTCTAGTTCTAGAATTTCAAGTCTGGTGGCATAAGGTATTCTACAACGAGTAGAGGAGTGGAGAACTCTTCTTGTGAAATATTTCTGGACTTTCTCAACTGTGCTAATATCAGATACGTAATGTGGGTTCCAGACTGATGAGCTGTATTCGAGTATTGGTCTAGCAAATGTTTTGTATGGCTAGCAAATTATATTGTAAGCGTTCGGCTAAATAAATAAATAAATAAATAAATACCCCCCCCCCCGAGAGGATGGATATGGTGCTTGGCCGGAGCCCAGAGAGGTCATGTGGAGCAGGTGCCCAAACTGCCAGGCGAACAGGGGTCCTGAAAAGAAGGTGGTGGGAGGGGCATGGGGGGGGGATTGGGGCTTTCTCCCCCAAGCAGCCTCCTGGGGATTCAGCAGTCCCTTCGCCTTGGAGCAAGATCGTCTTCTTCCACCGGTGCGAAGAAGCTGGCGACGAAAAGGAGGTTGGTTCCCTTTTGGGGAGCAGAGAAGCAGCAGTTGAGTGACAACCCCCCTCCTCCGCACCCCCCCCAAAGGTCTTTTTAGTCACTCCCGGCGGCCCCCAAAGAGCTAAAGGCATGACTGTCCATGGAGGTTCTCCATCATTCAGGTCATGGTTGTTCCAAACACGTTTTTCCAAAGGGCAACTGGGACTTCCTTGGTTTCTCTTTGAAAACCTTTCGCTTCTCATCTGGGAGGTTTCTTTCTTTCTAACCAACTGATGGAGGATGGAAGGATTTATATTCTTTGCAGTCACCTCGTTGCTAGCACTCTGTGGGGTTGTCGTTAAGAAGCAAAAGTGTTTTTCAAAGGGGAAAAAAAAACGCAAGAAAGTCCAGTTGCCTTTTGGGCTAAAGTCAAATATGATGCCACTCAAAGCACCTCAGAAGATCATTCAGTTCAGCTTGTCTGCTATTATTTCTATTTGATTTTTTTAAAAGTTCCCTTTTGTGGCTCTTATGTTTTTCTTCTAATGACTTCCGTTGTTGTCTTTTTTTCCTTCCCCCCCCCCCTTACATATAAGTTACAGCTAATCCCTTAATGTATCCTTTGGGGTAAAGCCCCATAGGATGCCACTCAAAGCATCTCAGAGGACCATGGTTTGAACTCGCAGTCCACAATCCCCGGGCTGCAACCCATTCAGAACCGGGCCATGCAAGCGGCAGGCAAACACGTCGGTGTGTGAAGCTCCACTTGTGAGAGTGGTGGGCATTCACACGTGCACCTCCCACTCATACACAACCATTCCCCCAACCCTACCCCACTCCGGCAAGGCTGCCAAGGCAGAAAGGTTGGGGACTAAGAACCTCTCCAAAACTCACTTAGCGTCTCTGTACTCTGCCCTAGGCAGGGACTGGGCATTGCGAGGATCTCAGACCCCTTTTAGTGACTCCAGAGTCCCAGATCCTCATTCTGGCACCCCAGCCAGTTGCTTCCCTGCCACCGATTCAAATTCCCACTTCCAAATCAATCTGCCACCCAAAGATGTTTCTCCAGTTTTCACACTTCTCAGAATGTATGTAAGAATGCAAGTTTTCACACACAGTAATAATCTAATCTCTGTACATTTGTGGGTGGAAAATACAGAACCACCGCTTGCAAAGATGGATTGGTAGATAAGTGAAAGAGAGAGAGAGAGAGACAGACAACATGCCCAAATGCATGTGAATTTTTATGACTTTTTTTTTTTTTTTTTAAAGTTGCCAGTTGCTGGAGAAGTGGGAGAGAACTAAAAATTGAAAAAATGAGAACGGGAGTCTCAGACATTAATGGCCCCCTTTCCCTTTTACAGTCCTCTAAACCAGGGGCCCCCCAACCATTGGTGGGATTCAATTTTTCTTACTACCGATTCCGTGGGCGTGGCTTGGTGACTTGGGTGTGGCTTGGTCGGCGTGGCTTGGTGGATGTGGCATGGGAAGGATACTGCAAAATCCCCCTTCCCTCCCCACCCCACTAACCTGCTTTCCAGCTCCGTTCTCCTGTGCAGGGCAACCAAAGGAGACCCAGCTGATCAGCTGGGACTCGATGGGAGGCAGAGAAGAGATGGAGTGGGGCCAGTCAGAGGTGGCATAGGCCGGTTCTCCGAACTACTCAAAATTTCCACTACTGGTTCTCCAGAATTGGTCAGAACTGGCTGAATCCCACCTCTGTCTCCAACCTTAGAAACTTTAACACTGGACTTCAACTCCCAGAATTCCTCAGCCAGCAAAGTTGGCTGAGGAATTCTGGGAATTGAAATCCATAAGTCTTAAAGATGCCAAGGTTGGAGACCCCTGCTCTAAACCAGGGCTCTCCACACGTGGCAACTTTAAGGCTTGTGGGTGGGGACATCTGGGAGTTGAAGTCCACAAGCCCTAGTTGTGCAATGTGGAGACTTCCCGCTCTAAAACAGTTTTAAAAAAAAGAAAGAAAGGAAGACATCTTACCATCAATTTCTTCTGGACGCAGCTCTCTGTCCTGCAGGGGGGGAAAGTTCCTGTGGTTAAAAAATTGGCTCTTCTTCAGAGCATACACTGAGTGCGCTGACAAGGGAAGTGAGGAAAAGGCTTGAGGGGTCATGGAGAGGTCATCTGGCCAAGAGTGTTTGCACCCAAACTCACGGCTCATCCGTGTAATTCAGGGGCACCTGAAGAAAAGGCCTCCCTGCTAAGGACAGAGGATGGAGGATGTGGTAGGGGGTGTGGGGAGGGAAGGCCCTTTCTCGGGTGCGGAGTTGGACTCGGGGGTGGGATGAAAACATTTTTACTACTGGTTCTGTGGGCGTGGCTAGGTGGGAGGGTCTAGGTGGGTGCGGCCATGTGACTGGGGGGGCACGGCTTCTTCTCCATTTTTCTGCAGCAACCCCCCCCACCCCCCGGCTCCGTTTTTGGGCCTTCTGGGCCTCAGGGAAGCCTCCTGGGGGGCATTTTTGCTCCCGGGGGGCTTCCCTCAGGCCCAGGAAGGCAAGCAATGGAGCATGGACAGGTGTGCAGCTGATCAGAAAGGGGGGCGAAAAGAAAGAAATTCCAGTTCGGCCGAATGGTAACATTTTTTACTACCGGTTCACATGAACCAGGCCGAACCGGTAGAATCCCACCACTGCTTCCAACCCTCTTAGTATACGTTCTATGTTCCTTCAGCTGCGGCCTCCCCCCTCCGGCTGCCCAGGGCAGCAAAATTGGCCCAGCCTTAGCCCAGAGATGCCGGTATCGGGTGCCCAACAGGAAGGGGGTAGGGGGAGCGAAGGAGGAGAGGCCAACAAAGCTATGAAGCAGCCAAGGTGGGCCTTGCGCTTCAGAGGTGAATGATGGAAGCAGGAGAAAACTCTGTGGCTGCCATGAAGGGAACCAAACCCAGCTGGAAATGCGCTGCTTAAGGGGGTGGGTGGGTGGGAATCTCTTCTTCCATTGGACGCTGCTGTCTCCCAGGCAGTAGGTCCCTCCCCCCACTCCCCCAGTCCCAATCTCCTTATCTGACAAAGCCACAGCACTGCTACTCCACCTACCGTGCTTCTGCCCGGAGCCCGGGCTGGTTCCAAAGGGAGCAGAAAGGCTGAATTAGACAGTAAATTGCTTTGGGGTGCCCCCCTCCCACCCCCCACCAGCACCTTCTTTCCAGATGCCCTCCCTCCCCTTCCTTTTGCCAGGCTGGGGGGGAGGGGATGAACGGGAGGGGCTGCGAAGGAGAGAAGGCAGCTTCCTTGCTTATTTGCAGCCTCTGCGGGAGATCTGTTGCAGCCATTGGCTGGTTTGGGGCAAGGATCCCTCAAGGATGCCGAGAGCAATAAGGCAACAACAGGAACAACAGGCACCCCGAGGAGAGCTTTCCTAGCAGGCATCCTGGTGTAACTGTGGGCTTGCAATGTTCCTGCAGGGGGACACGCATAGGAGATGCCCCAAGTGTCAGCCACCGTTTCTTCCCTCTGGTGCTCCGTCAGCCCCCCCTTCCCCAAGGCCCCTCTCAAAGGTGTGGTCCACCTGAGCTCAGCGTAGCATCACTTTCCATGGTCCTCCTGCTGCAGCTCAGCTCTTCCTGTTGTGTTCCTGCAGCTGAGGGCTGTTCAGGACATGGGAACCTCCCCGAGCACGGCAAGGGCCAGGCAGGGGTGGAGGAGGAGGAGGAGGAGAGGTTCCGGGGGTCTCAGAGCAGCCGCTTCCAGCCCTGGGCGCAGGCGATCCTGCGCCCCCTGTAGGCGGCCTGTCCCAAGAGGGGGGGCTGTGACTTACATACCGGCTGCCTGTTTTCCGCGAATCCCTTCCTCAGGAAGATGCAGGCCGGGCCGAGGAGGTTGTGCATCACCGCGCAGTTCTGGGCCAGCACCATGAGGGAGCCCTGGCCCTGGCCCTCACCGGCCGACGGCCCCTCCTCACTCAGCTGGACCG